TTGTGATATGATATATTTGAGACTAAATAAATAGATTGAAAGATAAATAGATGATTGAAAAACATGTATATGATGCAACAAAACAAAATTTTGCAAATAAATGACAATCTAAACCATTCATTCTTTTGCATTAATATTTTTCTCCAATTAGTTGTAATAGGTATGTTTGACATTTTTCTTCAATTGGCTATAGTAGGATTGTTTCTTTCCCACTGACTTCATTTTCTTTGGATCTTCTTGTTTGATTGTGATTAAGAAGAAAGTAATGATGGCTAAAAATTTCTTAATCTTTTTTTGTACTAAAATGAGAAAGTGAATTAAGAAAAGATTTTTGAGTTTTTAGTTAATCCATTTTTTTTACTAATGGGCATGCTGTGATCAAGTGACGCTATCCCATTCAAATTGTTTGACAATCTACCAATTGTCCTCAATTAGCCAAATTTAGGAAATTATGGGGATGGAATGTGTTTGCGTAAAACTTGAAGGATGAAATTAATCAAAATTATAAAATTACAAGGATGAAATATGTTTTGCATGAAACTGTAGGGATGAAATTGGTTAACATCTTAAACATTAGGGATGAAAAGTGCATTTTTGTCTTACTTAATATTATGAGAAGGATAAGATATTTAATTGTAGCCTATACAAGTGCAACTTTATCATGCGTTTAGGGAGGCTAACTCTATAGCGGATAGCATTGATTTGTTGGGCTTGGGTCATGATTATGTTTTCGCTTTCAGTGATCATCTTTCTCAGCGCATTCGAGCTGCTATTGGTTTAGATTGTAGGTCATTTCCGCATGTTCGGGCTCCAAAGCAGTAGATTTTGCCTATTTGTCGTTTACTCTTGTTAGGTTTGGCTTGTTCTAAAATCTTTGTAATTTCTATTGATTTTTACTTAATAAATTAGGGGCTGGCAGTCTTCTCCTATATACGGGTTTTGCCTTAAAAAGAAACTACTAAATAAATAGATGCTTCCACGTAGAGTTTAGACATGGTCCACGATTCCAGTTAAATATATCTTAGTTATTCAAGTGCTATCAGTAGTATAATCCATATCACAGACACACGGTCCACATCACAATTGGCAAGTTAATTTTTAGGCCTTTTTGAAAATTAGTTAATAACCTAATTTCTACATCAGATTCTTTGTCTCCGTAGTACAAATATCACGGACAAGGGGTACGGATGGTTGCAGGTGCAATCGTAGTATAAAATTTTGCAGGTGTGAAAATTGATGCACAATTTATTATTTGGATCGTACAAAATTTTTTGACCAAATCATGACCATTAACTGCTCAGGAACGATCATAAGTATGACGGTCCCTGCCCCATTTCCAAATATCATCTTTTCCACTATTTTTAACATTATGAGCAGTGAATAAGGACGCATAACACCAGATGAGGTCGAGAATCGCATACCATAGTTCGGTGGTGGTAGGCTGGTAGCCCGTTCATTTCCTTCGGCCCCACCGCCATTTCTTCTTCGCAGGTCCACGATCTCAAGCACTTTCACTGATTTTCACAAGGTTTTTTCCACTGAGTTGCTCTTCGGATAGGATTGTCAATAGGACCAGACCAGCCTGAGCTCGGCTCGCTCGATCTGAAAAAAAAAAAAAAAAATTCTGATGAGCCCCACCTTTCAGTGAGCTGATCCGAGGTTGGGCATAAAAATTATATTCATAATTAAATATGAGCTGAGTTTGGGCTTATTAGACTCGAACTCGATAGAGGTTCGACCATTTAATTACCTATATATATATAATGATATATATAATATTTATATTTTGATATTATATATAATTATATATCCAAATATATTATTACTAAATACTAAATATATACAAATTACAGAATACAAAAATGTATCTGAAGACTCTACTAACTTTCTTAAGAGTCAATATTAGTAATGCATAAATGAGGCTAACTTTTCTTATTGGTTGAATAAATTTTTGTGTTGGCATAATATTGGTTGATTTTTTTTTTTGGTCTAGAAACACAAATCATCAAGTCATAAAGCTATGAAGAAGTTCCAACCTTTCAAGATATATTATGTTTTACTACTATTTTTCGTGTACTTTGAACGAATTAGATATATATATTGTTGAAAGATTCTTGATTTATGTACTTTTCAAGAACTATTACTTGTTTATTTAATTCTGTTGTACTTATGAGTATCCTTATATTACTTTTAGTGATTTCTATAGAGATTTTTTGTTTTTTTATATAGATTTTTAAATATTAAAAAAGCCAAAATTTGTGGGGATATCCCATGCCTTGGGGCTTTCTCTCAAGCCCGGCAAACTGCCAAACACTTTCTATACATCTATCCACACCCAAAACCTCCCGCTACCAATTCTTTTCTCCAAATTCTTCCCTCCAATGCTTGTTCAAAGCAAATTATAGAGTTATGAATTACCATATGCTATAGAGGAAGACTACTAGTGCATGAAATTTGCATCTAATCTCATAACAGCATCATAGAGGCCACAAGTAAGTTGCAAAACAGACTTGTAAATCAAGGAAGATAACCCATAACTTAATCCCCAATGTAGTCCATATTAGTGTTCTAGACGGTAGAGAGAATTTTGGATTTATAGAGAGAAAACCTCCCCTGAGGTTTCTGAAATTATCCCTTAAAATTCTACTTGGCAACTTTTAGAAGTATTTTCTACATTTTACAATTGTCTAGCATCATTTATTGTTTTATGATGGAGGAGCATGCATATTTACAAAGATTGTTGATGGAGGAGAAGGCTTATTTACAAGGACTGATGATAGGAGATGAGACCTTAAGAATAGGCAACACTTGTTTAGTTTTCATACAGACCTCATGTTCCACTGCTTGATATTGAGCAAAATTTATCAGTCAGAATGTGTTTTAAGTTGATGATGCTTTTGCAGAGGTAGTAATACGTCGAATTTCTTTTGGTCAAAACAATTTCAGGAAACATGAATTGATAAGTCCTTTGGCTCTTAAATAACATTGTGGTTATATCTAGAATGTATTAGTGCTTATCTGACCTATATATGTGAATATGGATGTTTTGTTGAGACATATTGTTGTATTGCAACTTTTTGAGTATTTCAATGAGTTCAAACCTACAATATGCTCCTACATCTCTTGCATCTTGTTACAGATAAGCTCAAAACCCAATTCATGTCATCAAGTTTGTCTCGTGGCCTTTCTAATGATGAACTACCAAAGGTGGTGAGGAGGCTCACCTTGGCCATCCCGCATGCCCGAGGTGAACTCACCTCGTCCCTCATCAGAGCTCGTCCGCGTCTCGGGGTTATCCCTTAAGCCCGGCCGGATCCCTAGTCTACTGTGTAGGTGATCTCGGCACCTCCACCTCAGCTGCACGCTGATGATGTCAAGCCACCTGACATCACCTGGGACCAGTGCTTTATCTGAAAAGCACTGGAGGCACTTAATGGCACCTGCACCATACTCTCCGCCATCATACCCAGAAGGCTACAGTGTCAGAGCCAGGCCGCCTGACAGGAAGCAGAGCCGTAATGGCAGGACATGGGTCCCACCGGCATAAGACCTCCGTCCTGCCCTCCACTCTCATTCTATAAATACCCCACACACTCCCAACAAGTAAGGAGACTGTTCATTTCTCAGATACTACTATCTTTCTCGTTCTCATACTAACTTAATCGTCGGAGTGATACCAGGGGAGAAGCCCCGCCATCCACTTCGGTCGCGAGGATACACCTCACCTCAACCCAGAGAGGTCTGATTTAGGTCGGTCCAACTACCCGCCAAAAATCGCCTCTTCAATTGGCGCCGTCTGTGGGAACGAGATAGCTATTAAAATGAGATCCACGCGCTCCAGAAGCGGAAGAGTTCCCTCAACTGGGGCTGGGCAGACCTCGGGTGCCCAGCAAGACCGCATATCTGAAGAGCCAGGGTCCCAAAGGACCCAGCCCAACAATGAGGACGCCATCGCCAAGATGGCCGAGTTTGTATCAGACAACCCTAACATTTTTGAGGAGCTAGGAAGGTACCTCAAAAGGCAGGGAAAAGAAAAAGCCGAGTCTTCCAAGAGGAGACCGACGAAGTCCCCTGAAGTGCCCTCAGGCGAGGACTCCGAAGATGGGCGTCTATCTCGGAGCACCTCCAGGCGAGCCTCATCCAAGGCAACCTCCAAGATTGCCTCCATCTCCCGAGCGTTTTCTCGGGGACTACTGGGAAAACGAGCCGAGGACCCACCTCGGCGTCCCGGAGGCCTAGTTTCTGATTACATGAGGGCTCCACCCTTCACTGATGACATCAACGGGGAAATGGTGCCCCCGAACTTTAAGCTTCCAAATTTGCACACCTATGACGGCCGAGGTGACCCCGAGGATCACCTCCGCGCCTTCATCTCCGCATTCCGACTCTACTGCGTCCCCGACGCCGTGATCTGTCGGGCTTTCCCCATCTTCCTGCACGGGACCGCCCGGAAGTGGTTCTGGAGTTTAGAACCGGGGAGCATTTCCTCCCTGGATGAGCTGATAGACCGGTTCATCCACCGCTTTGTGTCGTCTCGACCAATAACAAAGACTTCAGCTTACCTCTTGAACCTGCAACAGGGTCAGGGCGAGTCACTTCGCTCGTACGCCCAAAGGTTCAACGAGGAGAATGTACAGATACCTGACCAGAACGAGCAGGTAACTATTGCTGCCTTCACCAACGGGTTAGTAGCAGGGATCTTTAACACCGAAATCCATCGGCAGTACCCCCGTACACTCCGGGAGCTCTGGGAAAGAGTGGACCAGGGAATCCAAAGTGAAGATGTAAATCGCATGAAGCGAGAAACCCAAGCATCTCGTACGGGGCAAGATCCCCGGAGGAGGAAAGACACTGGCCGAGGTGAACCAGGCCCAAGTGGCACTTCAAACCAACCCCGAGACCGCCGAAGTGTCTTCGACCGGATCGTGAAAGGCAGATCGTCCACCTCGGACGCCGAGCTGACGCCCCTCAATTAGAGCCGGACCCATGTCCTGGCTGTGATGAGGCAGAATCACCTCGGCCGCAACCCTCCCGAAATTCCGGGGAGGAGAGATAAGAGGAACTCGAACCTCTACTGTGCCTACCACCGTGATGTAGGGCACGAGACTGAATACTGCAATGACCTGAAGCGGGAAATCAAAAATTTGATCCGGCAGGGATACCTGAAACAATTCGTCCGCAAGGATGGAGGCTTCAACCGAAGCATCTCCCACCGGGAGAACCGAGGCCCCCGCCGAGACGACCGACGGGACACGAACATGCATTGCCGAGGTCCCGAAGACCGTAGGGAGGACAAGCAGCCCCCACGCGATGGCTCACCGGGCTACGGCCCCAACATTGCCGGGGTGATCAACACCATCGCGGGAGGACCAACGGAAGGAGACAGCCAGAACTCCCGGAAGCGGACCTACCGCCAGGCCGAGATGGAGGTGGCCGAGCCGAGCTCTCGGCTGTCCGAGGTCATCACCTACGGTCCCGCTGACCCCGTTCCTGCGGCCTCCAGCAATCATGAGGCTCTTGTGATTGAAGTCCTCACCAACAACTACGTAGTCAAAAAGGTCTACGTAGACCCCGGAAGCTCGGTAGACGTCTTGTACTACCGGACTTTCGAAAGTTTGAAACTGACCAGGGAGCAACTCACTCCTGTCAGGACTCCCCTCGTGGGATTCGGGGGACACGTCGTCCACCCGGAAGGCATGTTGACCCTGGTGGTAACAATCGGGCGTCATCCACGCTGCCGAACTGTGCCTGTTAGTTTTGCGGTGGTCAAAGCAGACTCCCCCTACAATATGCTGATAGGCCGGCCCACGCTCAATGCCTTGAGAGCCGTATACTCCACCTACCACCTGAGCTTTAAATTCCCAACATCTGCGGGGGTGGCCGAGGTAAGCAGCGATGTGGGCGCCGCCCGAGAGTGCTACCTCGCCACCATTCAAGCAGCAGTCACCCCCCGGCCCTCACCGAGGTCAGAAGAAAAGAGGCCAGCGGTTCTCTCCATAGACTGCATCGACCCTCAGAAGGCAGAAGAGCCCAACAGGCTGGAGCCCGGGGATGAGGTGGAACTGGTGGTAGTGGATGAAGCGAAACCTGACCAAGTGGTCCAAGTAGGGGCTGGACTACCCTCACCCCTGAAAGAAGAAATGATCTCCCTGATCAAAGACCACCGAGACGTCTTCGCGTGGTCCGCGGATGAAGTGGTCGGAGTGCCACCCGAGCTCATGACTCACCAACTCAACGTTGACCCACAGGCCCGACCTGTGCGACAGAAACGAAGGCACTTCGGCCCCGAACGTAGTCAGGCCATATCGGATAAGGTCGACAAGCTCTTGCCGGCCAAGATGATCCACGAAGTCCAATATCCCGCCTGGCTGTCCAATCCAGTCATGGTCAAAAAGGACACCGGTGGATGGAGAATGTGTGTCGACTTCACCGACCTCAACAAGGCCTGCCCCAAAGATTGCTATCCTCTGCCGAGAATAGACGCCCTCGTCGACGCGGCGATGGGGTATGAAATCCTCTGCTTCCTAGATGCCTTCAAAGGGTACCATCAAATAGGAATGAGTGAGGAGGACCAAGAGAAAACGGCGTTCTACACCGACCGAGGTACTTATTGTTACACCACCATGCCCTTCGGGCTAAAGAACGCTGGGGCAACCTACCAAAGGCTGATCAACCGACTCTTCCAGAATCAGATCGGCCGCAATGTGGAGGCCTATGTGGATGACATCCTCGTTAAAAGCCTCGCCACTTCATCCTTTCTGTCAGACGTGAGGGAAGTCTTTGGTGTCCTGCGAGACTCGAGAATGAAGCTGAATCCCAAGAAGTGCGTCTTCGGCGTCACCTCGGGAAAATTCTTGGGGTATCTGGTTTCCCACCGGGGAATCGAGGCCAACCCCGACAAGGTGAAGGCCATTCAGGACATGTCCCCACCTCGGAACATCCGAGAAGTCCAACGGCTGAATGGACGCCTGGCCGCGCTGAATCGCTTCCTATCCCAATCAGCCGAGAAAGCTCTGCCCTTCTTTAAGGTGCTCAAGAAGGCTGATCAGTTTGCCTGGACGGAAGAGTGCCAGGCTGCTTTCGACAAACTGAAGCAATACCTCCATCACCTACCCACTCTCGCTTCACCTCGGCCCGAGGAGAAGCTCTACCTCTACCTCTCCGCAGCCGATGAGGCCGTCAGCGCTGTTCTTATCCGGGATGAGGGCACCCAAGTGCCCGTCTACTATGTCAGCCGAGCTCTCCGCGGACCGGAGACCCGATACACTCAGGTGGAAAAACTGGTGCTGGGGCTAGTTCACGCCGCTCGGCGGCTGAAGCCCTATTTCTTGGCTCATCCCATATCCGTCAGGACCGACCAGCCTCTCCGACAGATACTGGTTCGACCCGAAGCCTCCGGGCGCCTCACTAAATAGGCCGTCGAATTAGGGGAGTACGACCTGTCCTATGAGCCGCGCACCGCCATAAAAGCTCAAGCCTTAGCCGACTTCTTGGCCGAGCTCACCTTCACGGAAGGTCCGGAGTCCACCTCCGCCTTTGCCGAGGTGTCCACCCCATCCCTGTGGACATTGTATGTGGATGGATCCTCTAATGGGGACGGCAGCGGAGCTGGACTTCTCCTGGAAGGACCTCAGGGAGAAGTGTGCTCTTACGCCCTCCGCTTTGGCTTCCCAGCCACCAATAATGAAGCCGAGTACGAGGCCTTAATCGCTGGACTCCAGCTGGCCCGAAGGCTCGGCGCACAACAAATCCACGTCCGCAGTGACTCCCAACTCGTCGTACGCCAAGTCCTTGGTGAGTATGAGGCCAAGGATGAGACCATGCAACGATACCTCTCCAAAGTACACCAACTCACCGCGTACTTCGAGTCCTTCGAAATCCAAAGAATACCCCGTTCCCAGAATAAGCGAGCCGACGCCTTATCCCGGCTGGCTTCTACGTCATTTTCTGATCTCAACAAAACTGTCTTAGTGAAAGTCCTGAGTGAACCAGGATACGTGGAAGAGGTGGCCTGCCCCATGCACTCTGAAGAAACCTGGATGACCCCGTTCATCCTTTTCTTGGGTCAAGAAGTCCTCCCTGAAGACCGAGCCGAGGCGAGAAAAATACAACGCAAGGCGCCTCGGTACGCTCTCCGCGATGGAGAGCTGTACAAACGTTCCTACCTCGGCCCATGGCTGAGGTGTGTCACTCCCGAGACAGGACGCCACGTCCTCCAAGAGATCCACGAGGGCTTGTGTGGAGCTCACGTCGGCCACAGAATGCTAGCCAAGAAGGCTCTGCTTCTTGGATATTTCTGGCCCTCGGTTCGACAAGACGCCCAGAACCTCGTTCTCGGCTGCCATTCCTGCCAAGTCCAAGCGCCCGAGTATCACCAGCCCGCCAACTTCATGGTTCCCATCACTTCACCCTGGCCATTCGAGCAATGGGGGACAGACATCATAGGTCCTTTCCCCAGAGCCGTCGGGGGTCATACCTTCCTGGTAACCGCTGTGGATTACTTCACCAAATGGGTTGAAGCCGAGCCACTGAGGACCATCACCGGGCTGGCAATTCAAAAATTCTTTTGGAAATGCATCGTCTGCCGCTTCGGCATACCACAGGTAATCATCTCGGATAATGGGAGGCAATTTGCCGAGAACCCCTTTAAAACTTGGTGCACAAACCTTGGCATCAAACAACATTTCACTTCGGTAGGCCACCCCCAGGCCAACGGCCAAGCAGAAAACTTCAACCGAACTCTCTTGCATGGCCTCAAGACTCGACTACACCAAGCTGGAACATCTTGGGTCGAAGAACTCCCTAGTGTCCTTTGGTCTTATCGGACCACGCCGAGATCGGCCACGCAAGAGACCCCCTTCTCTTTAACATACGGAACCGAGGCTGTCATCCCTGCCGAGATCCTTACCCCCAGCCCTCGGCTCGCAGCCTATGCAGCCGAGGTGAACGGCGAAGAAAGGCAGTTGGATCTCAACCTCGTCGATGAGCGAAGGGATCTCGCCTCAGCCCGGATAGCTTCCTACAAGAGCACAGTGGCACACTACTACAATGCTCGTGTCAGGCACCGTCGATTCCAGCCTGGAGAATTGATTCTGAGAAAAAACACAGTCAGCCGAGCTGAACCGCAAGGGAAACTATGCCCGAAGTGGGAAGGCCCTTACCGAGTTGTGGAGTCTGACCTCAAGGGATATTGTAAACTGAGCTACCGAGATGGCTCACTAGTGCCGAGGTCTTGGCACGCCGAGAATCTCAAAATGTATTGTGCTTGAATTTTTAATCAAGATATGACTTCGGATCTTACGTTATTTTTCAACATCGGTTTCACGTTATTAAAAAATAAAGGGGGACAAGCAAGGGTCGAAATCAAAACAAGAAATTAAAGTGCGGAGGTGAAAAGAAATAAACTTTCATTCAACAAAGGAGCGTTACAAAAAATACAAGGCCGAGGTCGGAGTGCTACTAAGCGCTCTCCACCTCGGCCACCCCTTTAAGACCCACGAGCTTAGACCCCTGTCTCGGCTCCATTCCCCTTTTCGGCTCCCTCCTGGGCAGCTTTCTCTCCGGCCTCCTTTCCACCGGGGTGAAGCTCTTCTCCATGCTCTTCGCCGATGTTCCCTCCAGGCACTTCACCCGTCCCTTCGCCGAGGCCTACATCGGCTTCTTCTCCTCTTTCCTCCTCGAACGCTTCGTCGAGTTCAGACAGCCATTTGTTGAACTCGTCTTGAACCTCGGCCAGGTTCCTCCCGGCTCGGATGCCTTCGGCCATCCGATCGCACAGCTCCGTGGAGTCCTCGTTATAGTGAGCACTGTTCCTCAAGCACTCCAAAGCCTCGGAGGGCAGATGAGCTGCGGCCTGGTCTATGGCCGAAGTGAAGCCCAGCATGAAGGATGGCCTTGTCAGCTGGCCGAGATCCCCAATGAAGGTCTCGGACCTCCGGAAATCCTCGACGGCCGAGGTCCTCGCGCTATCAAGGGATTGTTCGTGATTCTTCTTCGCCTCCTCGGCCCTCTTCTGCTCTTCCTCAAGAGCGGACCTCAGACTGTTGGTTGTGATCTCGGCCTCCTCCCCTTTAGCCTCGGCCTCCTTGAGCTGCCTCTGAAGCTCGGATTTCTCAGACTCAGACACCACCAGCTTCTTCTTCAACTTGGCAATCTGATCTTGCAGCTTGCCGGTGTCCTGCTCCTCGAGCAACTCGCAGTACCGATGTGCCATCTCGGCCACAAAGGCTGTGTTGGAGGCCGTGGTCACCATAACGCTTTGGAGCATCTCGGCCGGGGTCAGCTTCCTTGTGAAGTCCAAGTCTCTTGGCAGAGTAGACTGCATCACCAGGTCTTGGGCGACCCTAGGATTCGAGCATCGGTCGTTGACCTTGAGCGACCAATCCGGACACCACTGCTCGCCGGAGTGAGACTTATCCTTCCCAGAAAACACTGGGGGGCTATGGTACCGGTTCCAGAGCGAAGTCGCCGTCACCGCGTTGACCGGAGCTTTCAGCTGTTTGCCTCGGCCATGTTGAGGTGGAAGTGCCGTGGTCACCCCTAGTGGCACCCCCTCTGGTACCGAAGTGGACCCTGTGGCAGCAGCAGCCGAACTGCTCTGAGCTGCCGTGGTGGGGGTGGTCTCCTTGGCCGACGTCTTGGGAGGCTGCCCTTGTGTTTTCTTCTTGGGCGGGGGCGCCGATGTCTCGCCCGAACTCTTCCTCTTCGACCTCTTCGCCACTTCGGCACCTGAGCTCGACGTGATGATGTCGGACAATTTGGTCACTGCACAAAGAGCAAATATTATCATGTGCCTTAGCCGAAGTGAAATCAAAGCTATGAAAGAAAATTACAAGGTATCTTAAGTTTAGTGGAGGTGAAGGGAGTCTTGTCAGGAGGGATCAAAGCTCGGCTAATTCCCCCGTCAACCAGCACGGCTTCGGGGTAGTCCAGACTGTATATCCGAAGTCCCGACCCCATCAGCTTCTGGAAGTCCTCCTCCTTGGCATCCCCAGCAGAGGGATCGGCCTTCGCTTTGATTGGCCTCCACCAAAAGCCCCTGGGGAAGTCCACTTCGGACACAAAGAAGTAGTCGCGCTTCCAATTCTTGATTGAGCTGGGAGCGCCGACCACCAACTTCGGAATGGCATTGTTCCGATTGCCAACATAAAACCATCCCTTGTCCGTCCCGTGCGCCTTGAGGGTATAGCATCGGCGGAAGAGGTCGACAGAGGGAATCACCTCCTGATGTCGACACAGCATCTCGAACCCCATAATGATGCGGATCGCATTCGGGGCGAGTTGGGTAATCCTCACGCCGAAGTGACGGAGCAGATCCCTGAAGAACCTCGACGTAGGCATCCTTAGCCCGGCCTCCAACTGTTGGACATAGACGGCCACCATGCCAATGGGGGGCTTCTCGGCTGAGTCATCCACCCCGGGCGGTGTGATCTCGTACCCCGACCGGAAAGGGTACTTGTTTATCACCTTCACGGCCCTATCTCTTCCGATGCGACTTCTAAACTTCGGCATCTTGCCGAAGTCGATGTTGGATGTATCTTCGGGAGCGACAGGCTCCAGTGCGTCCTCGTCGTGTGGTATCTCGACGCCGAGCTCCTCATCATAGGCCACTTCGGAGCCACCCTCGCTCATCTCGGATGACTCCAACTCGACGTCAACCTCCTCGCGGGCCTCCTCGGTGGATCCTTCCCCAGAGCTCGGCGTCGACCCATCAGAGCTGGACGTCGTCACTTCTATAGGATCCGGCCTCACCTCGGTTCGGTAACTCGGTGTCACGGTTTCTTTGTGGGTCTTAGCTGTTTTGGCCATGGGTGAAAGATGAGGTAAGAAAGAAGAAGAATACTTACTATTGCCTATGGAGTTGGACGAAGTTGATGACCTCGGCTTTGATCTCGGCTACTAGACCGACCTCGGCTGAAAGAACTGACCTCGGCTACGCTCGTGAACTTGCAAATCTCAAATGAAAATGAAAGGTGTGAGAAGTGCGGTGAGGGGGCCCCCCTATTTATAAGAGTTTGGGCGGAATATGAAGAGGCGGCAAGAATGCGAAAGGACGGCCACGTTCGAATTCAGAACGTCGTGCCTCCCTCTCTCCTCATTAATGTACCGTCCTTTCGGCTGACACCCTGCACGAAACGTCCCACTACTTCACGACGCGACGGTTACCAGTGACCACGTCCCTTCAACTGACACGCCCACGTGTCACGTCCCCGCATCTTCCGGGGCAGTTTCGGGACTCCGACTTTCTACGATTTCGGCACAAGGAAGCCTCGAAACCTCCCTAGCCCGGAGCGCCCGAGGCTTGGGGGGCTTATTGAGGAGGCTCACCTCGGTCATCCCGCATGCCCGAGGTGAACTCACCTCGTCCCTCATCAGAGCTCGTCCGCGTCTCGGGGTTATCCCTTAAGCCCGGCCGGATCCCTAGTCTACTGTGTAGGTGATCTCGGCACCTCCACCTCAGCTGCACGCTGATGATGTCAAGCCACCTGACATCACCTGGGACCAGTGCTTTATCTGAAAAGCACTGGAGGCATTTAATGGCACCTGCACCATACTCTCCGCCATCATACCCAGAAGGCTACAGTGTCAGAGCCAGGCCGCCTGACAGGAAGCAGAGCCGTAATGGCAGGACATGGGTCCCACCGGCATAAGACCTCCGTCCTGCCCTCCACTCTCATTCTATAAATACCCCACACACTCCCAACAAGTAAGGAGACTGTTCATTTCTCAGATACTACTATCTTTCTCGTTCTCATACTAACTTAATCGTTGGAGTGATACCAGGGGAGAAGCCCCGCCATCCACTTCGGTCGCGAGAATACACCTCACCTCAACCCAGAGAGGTCTGATTTAGGTCGGTCCAACTACCCGCCAAAAATCGCCTCTTCAGGTGGAAAAGTGGTGGGGAATTTGCGATCTCTGTAAGTGGGATGGATTTTGGTACAGACCTGACTTCCTGGAAGGGGCCATTGCTGCTAAATCGGATTTTCAGGCTCAAGATGATGACGTGCTGCTTTCATCCCAACCAAAATCGGGAACTACTTGGCTTAAAGCTCTTGTGGTCTCCATTATGGACAATTATGCTGCTCGGACTACCAACAATGTCAATGATGCCATGGTTCAGTATGATCTTTTGACAGAAAATTTTCCCCATGACTTGATTCCATCTCTCGAGATCCAAATTTTCAACCCATCAAAAGCATCAGCAAGCCCAATTCCGCTTCCAACTGTAAGAGGTCGACCAAGATTATATCAAACTCATGTACCTTATGGAATGTTGTCTGAATCCATCAAAACCTCAGGCTGTAAGATTGTGTACATAACTCGAGATCCCAAAGATGTCTTGGTGTCCTCGTGGCACTTCCTCGATGCAAACAACCAATCCACGGAGGAACCATATCCTATGGAAGACGCATTTGAGAGTTTTTGCAAAGGAGTTCAAGCTTTTGGACCATTCCATGATCATGTTCTAGGCTACTGGAGAGAATGTTTGGCAAGGCCAGACAAGATAATTTTTCTAAGGTATGAGGACTTAAAAAAAAGATCCAAGAGGAGAAGTGAGTAAGCTGGTTTCATTTTTTGGTTGCCCTTTTGCCAGTAAAGATGAGGCTGATAGAACTATATATAGATGCAGTCTTGAAAGGCTAAAAACTCTGCAGGTGAACATGGAAGGTATCGGTAAATGGTCTGGGTTGCCTAAGAGTTCCTATTTCAGACGTGGTGATGTTGGGTCACACCTGAAATGAAGGAGCATCTCGATGAAATCACCAGAAAGAAGTTTCAAGGGTCTGGTTTGGATATGTACTATTCTTAAACAGATCAATTGGCGAAGCATGCAACAGTAATTCCTAGTACATGCTGAGTATATTAGCTGGTGTGCCTTTCAAGTTTGATGGCCTAAGGTTCTTCCTGTATCAGCAGTATCAGAGGAGTGAAAATTTGTCCGACCGGTTACTGATCATCAGTGTTTCATTTCTTGATGCATGCTTAATCTTTATGTTTTGTGTGCCAAAAATAGTTATTTGGGTTTCTTAATGGACTTAAAAATCATCTCTCTGATCATGAATCACTGGAAGAATTATGTAGCCTCTTATATGTACATAGGACATATTGGAGGATGCTCTTCTAGTGCTGTAATAAGTTGAATCCCATAACACAATATGAATGCAAGAAACCACCAGTTTTCTTTGTTGTTGGACAGGTGAACTCTGGTTTGGGTTAAGTTTGGGTTAGGATCCTCTCCATTAGATTTCTCTCCATTCATTTATATCTAAATTACCATAATTTTACAATTCTATAAAGTCTTCCGACTATAGAAGACAAGGCTTAGTCAACTGTATATGAAATTTCATGTATAATTAACACAATTGATGAAATAAATTATGAACGCTGTTGACGTTCGAAACGAATTTCAAATTAATTTTATTGAGACGTAATACAGAGAAGTTCTTTCTAATGTAATAAACAGAAGCTTAATGCTCCAAAGTTTTACTATCAATTAGACAGATTATATGTTGTGAGAAGCCGTAAATTTTCTTAAATACATTTCATGATCCCAGCTTCGTTAATGATACCTTAAAATACAAAATTTTATTTCAGAATGAAAACAACAGCAAAAATTCCGGAATATCTTTACTAAAAAAACATGAAAATTCCGTTTTAATGATGAAGTATCAAATTTTGCTTGACTTTAGTGTAATTAGCCCTTATAATTCCGTTTTAATGAAAAGGCTTTTTTTTTCTATTTAATGATTGAAGGGCACACGAAAAGCAAATTAAAGACACATTCACTATTTATGTTTCAAAATTACAATCCAGTCCCTACATTGCAACATTCGTAGAAAAAAACAACATGGACTCAACTTTTACTGTGTGCTCCTAGTACACCAAATAGACGAAGTCATTATCTATACATACAATGTATAAAGCGAGAGCAACACTGCGTAGTGTATTCACTACATATTGTCACTTTTTTAAAATTCTTAATCTACCCTTAATTATAAGGATAAATTGGTCCCAATGTATTCCTAAAAGAACACCCCATAATTATCAAATAGTTATCCCGTTAAGATCTAATTACAACTTCCTCACGCTCATTCCCTCACATCTCCACTTTTTTCTCCACCATGATTTTAAATAGAATAACTTCCTATAGCATAATAATTATAGATATTTCAAATACATACGTACATATACATGTGCGTGTGTGCGTGTCTCTCTCTCTCTTTATATATATATATATATATATATATATATATATATATATATATATATAGATAAATACACACACCATGATGTGTAACATAGAAAAAATTTGAAGCATGTTTACATATTGAGAAAAGAGGTGTGGAAAGCAAAAATAAATGGCTAAGAAATATCCATATTGTGACTGCACAGAAAACAATGGTCATGCGGTGGAAACAAAGGTCCACCTCGCAAACGGAATGCAATCGGTTCATGAAGGAGTGGGTCCCACTATAGAGATGTAGTGAAGGGGTGGGCAACGGGGGGAAAAAGGATGAAGAGGCAAATTTGTAAAATAAAACAAATGAGAGGAGTGTTCCACAAAATAGTGTTATACTTGTATTAGAAATTGAAAGTAGGCACATATCCATGTGAATGTTGGTCAACAAAAAACTACCCTTCTTAATTAATCATTTACAACAAAGTAGTTCACACTACAATTTTGGTTTTCCAAAATGCAAGCTAAACCAAAATTGATAAGTTTAGCTTAATTGATAAGTTTTATGCAATGCATGCTTCCACCAATGAAATTAGGAATTAATGAATAAAATTTTAACAAGTTAATATGTATTGGTACAATTATTAACAAAAAAAGTGTGCATGTTTTCACCGATAAAATTAGGAAATAATGAGCAAATTTTTAGCAAGTTAATATGTATTGGTAGAACTATTAATAAAAAAGAGTAAATGTTTCCACCAATAAAATTAGGAAGTAATAAATAAATCTTAACAAGTTAATATGTACTAGTACAACTATTAGCAAAAAAAAAATTGAAGTTTACTGATCAATTAAGCACATAGTAAGGCCAAAAATAATTTACAAAGTAAAAATTTCCACTTTGCCATAATATGCATATTTATTTTGCCGATTGGCTGATCTAAACCTCTGCCTAACAAATTATATATTTGTTTGCCACATGGACCTATAAATTCTTTGTATTTATTTTTGGTAATTTTTTTATTAATATTCTATTTTTGGCAACAATTAATCCCTTTCTTTCTCACTTCCTTATTTATAACAATTCTCAATGAATTTAATGGTTTTTGCTTTATATATGTTTCTATTTGTTACACCTTACTAGTTACTACATATTTTGATCAACCAACTTATAGTTTTTTTGGTTTCTCTCCAATCATGTATTGTAATTTATTATTTTGCTTGCTTGTATATGAAAAGTTACTATTACAAATATATTTACATTTTTTATTTTATTCTACACCACTTCCTTCTTTTATTTTGCTTGATTATAATTTATAAATTAGAAGTTTATATGATGTTTTATATTTCTATTATTTGGCTTGATTATTTTTTAATACTTGAAAAATGATGACAATTTTGGATTTATCTACATGACAATTTCGACCAGACATCTGCAAATACAAAAAAAAAATTACTATTGCCTCCCTTCCGATTACGACTTTATGTACCAACGTCCACCCCTATGACATAAAGTCACAAAAAAAGCAAAGGAATGAACATTGACACCACATTCTTTTTTTTTTTTTTTTTGGCCTTATCCGGGTCAGCATCAAAATAAATTGCTTAACATTCATTACAAAATCAATTAATTGAAACAAATATCAAAATTAAATTGCAAAATAAAAATTGTAAAAGATGTTAGTGCGGAAGTGTCCAGCATTGACCATTAAATATCATTTAAATCTAGTTTTCAATATGAACATATCATTCATTAAACATATTCAAATTTTTTTTTTTTGCAAATGGTAAGTGGCAGATATTTAACTGGATGCTAGATAATTTTAATATACAAATTTCCAACTTTTTCTACATTTTCTTAAGTGATATTCTCATATGTACATTACAAGCCAAATAGAGCTCATGGATGTTTCGATTGACATGTTTGTATTTTGTTATCTATTCCGATTGCACGCCTTTTCGTTTGCCTGTTCTAGGCTTCTGCAGGAAATTATACCCTTCTCAATATGTTTGGTCCAATGAGATTACATCCACCTTTTATATTTCCCCTTACACCCTAACTCAATGGTATCCTTTTTTTTGTTGCCCCCCTTACTCATATTTATTTCCTTTTAGACCCCTTTAATTTTTCAAAACACCTAGCTCGATTGCTAGTCATCTTCTTACGGCTACTTAAAGGTTGTCGGTTGCCTAAAGCATCAATGTACACTAACACGTGTAGGCCAAAAATTGTGTTCCCCATAGACTTATGGTCATGGTGGGAAATGGGGTGCGGTCCAGAATGACCGTCTCTGAGCAATTAAAGGTCATGATTTGGTCAAAAAATTTTGTGCGGTCCAAATAACAAGTTGTACATCGATTTTCACATCGTGTGTGGGGTCCGCAAAATTTTGTACTAAAGTTAAACGTTGTGTAAATAAAGTTACGCCGTGTATAATCAAAATTACACGCTGTTGAAAATGGCCAAAACCGTTGGAGACGGTTGCTGCCCCTTGTCCGGTTATGGTGTCCTCTGAGAGCTCTTGACCATTGACTAAAATGTTCGGGTTGATTTTATATAAAATGTATAAGATGTAATTTTATATGCATATGATATAACTTAATTTCAACAACGTTTAACTATAGAATAAAATTTTGTCAGTTCCATACATGATGTAAAAAATAATATACAAGATATAATTTAGATCTTATATTTTTGTGGCCAAATTTTGACCATGAATCCTCATGAACAATTGATTCCTGCGATCGTTTTTGCCCCTAGTGCCAAAAGCACCAGTAATACTTAACGCCAAAGAAGGTCAGACGACAACTTGAAAGGAAAAAAGCAATAATATTTCAAAAAAAAAAAAAAAAAAAAGAAGCAGAGGTGGCTGAACATCGGATATGTACGGACGTGTCGGTCCAAAATTCATAATCCAAGTTCTCAGTATCATATGTTTTCACTAGTTACCTCAAAATACCCAAAAAAGGAAAAACATTTAACTAGAAAACAACCCCCAGTATCTTGTTGATATGACAGTTGCCATTTAGATTCTATGCACTTTACAACTTCTGTTCTGAATGATAATGATGTCCCAATAAAGAACAACCCAAAAAAAGAGAGAATGTTCACTTCTTGTTGATTAAATTATTATTCTTATTGCCACCAAAATTACCAAGAAAGAAAATTTTTCTACCAGTATTCAGGCTCAGAAGTTTGGCCTGATTAAAGTTGGAACACCCGGTTCTCCTGGGAGTTTTAACGGCCGAAATAAAAGCGCAACCCACAGTTTTACTTAATTCTTGTTAGCTCATTTCTCTGCCTTCTCTTACCTCTCTGGTGATCAATCTCCTCTTCTCTTTTTTCTTCCAGTTATATCTTTTTTTTCCCTATTGTACTGTTTATTCAGTTTTTGCATTTGAATTGAGCTTCATTTGAATTTGCTTTTTTTAGGGTGCTTTCTATTTTTATCCGAATAATATATAGAGCTTCTGCTTTCACATATTTCAATGGTTTCTCTGAAATCACCATGCCCATGTGGGCTTGGATTAGCAAACCCGGGTGAGTTTTTCACCTGGGTTTTTTGAATTTTAGTCTTTCTTCAACAATTTTCTTGAGAATCCCTTGTGGCAAAAGTGGAAATCCATGGGGTTTCAGCAAAATTTGAGCTTTAACTGAGGTCATTATTGCCTTTTAAGGTAATTAATTTTGAAGTTATTCTGTTGTTAGCGAGCCAAAGAAAGTTCCCTGGTTTCTTATTTTGGTTAGAATTGAAGAAATGTTCCTTAACATGTAAGGTCTGTTTATATCATATAAATTTGGAAATCAAAATGCTTAATTGTCCCCATTAGCTGATGCGAAGTATAAATATCGTGGGAATGTAGCAGTGAGGATCATTGTAAAGATTACAAACAGCTGTTTGAGGATGATTTGGGTATCTTTGCAAATTTATGCATCTAAGTGGAGTTTGTTTTACTTGTATATAGGATGGGAAGGGTTAAGCTAAAGATAAAGAGATTGGAAAGCAATAGCAATCGGCAAGTTACATATTCGAAAAGGAGGTCTGGAATCTTGAAAAAAGCGAAAGAAATTTCTGTACTATGTGACATTGATATTATGCTTCTTATGTTTTCCCCTAATGGAAAACCAACCATATTCACCGGAGCACGCAGGTAATTTTCAAAGTATCTGATTTGATATAAAGTTAAAGCATGATGGATTTAATATGAGCTACAGGGCATTTTTGTGTCTTTGTTTTGTATAGGTTAACAGTTATGTTTATGTAGTCTCACATTGTACACACTGTGGTATTCTTCTGAGGCGTTGTACATATTCTGTAAATTGAGCCCATTGATCCTCCTCTCCAGCTTTCTCTCTGTCTGGCTAAGTGTATAAAAGACAATTTAAAAATCTCAAGGTGTTTGTCTCCTTTTCTTAGCCATAAACTTTAAACCTGACTAATCCCTTGCCATAAGTTGATTACAATTATAGATGGAGGATCCTATTTTTGTAGTTATGTTGGTCATGTTAACATAGAATAGGAGTGAACAGGGAAGCTCACATTTCAACATATGAAGGCATACAAATGGGCTAAAGTTTTTATCTTAAATATCATCACAATGGAGTTGTCCAGGTCTGGTTATAGTAGAGAACTAGAGATTTTGCTAGAGTTTCTCCTTTAACAAGTTTTGCCTAATTGTCTCCAGAGTCTTTCAGCCTAGATGATGGAGATAGCATTGTTTCAGTAGTGACAATACCTTTTCAGATTGCATATCTTTTAATGTCTTGAAGTAGTTTGCTCAAAAAGAGGTGTTTGTTTCATCATTATTTTATCATAGGAAATTGATAATTGCATCCTTAAGTTAGTTTGTGCGTAACTGACCTTTTAAACAATGTTGGCTACTATTCAGCTATGAAAGCAGTTGGGGTTGGACTTTTGGAGTTGTAGGATTTGTATTGCATGTCTTTCTCCAATTTCTTCCCTGGACATATACTTTTGAAGTATTGGACACATTACTATGGATTCATCTAAGAAAACAATAGCATAACTATGTAAGGCTTGTGATTTCTTTTTGGTTTTAGTGATTTGTTTCTAAAGTCATAGTTATGAGAAGTATGTTGTTAAATAGACTAGAACAGTACATCTGGCTTATGTCTCATTTTATACTTGCCTTTCATGTAGACTATCAATCTCTAGTTTAAATATCCCATCTTTGATTGTACACACTCGTCGATGAGTGATAGTAAATACTTGCTAATATTCATCTTTGATGTCTCTTCAGCAATGTTGATGAGATTATCTCAAAATTTGCTCAACTATCTTCTCAAGAAAGGGCAAAAAGGTATTCAAAAACTCTGGTCAAATGGCATTAATTTCCAGCTAGTAAAAATCATATCATAACTGAATAATTCCTTTCTCCTGCATTGCAACAGGAAGTTGGAAAGCCTTGAGGTAAGTTTGAAAGCATAATCCAATTTATTGTCATATCATGTCTCCTTTTTACATCTACTGAAATTATATTTCTCCATTTACATAAAGTGAAAAGACATCCATGCATTTGATAGGTTTTGAAGAAAACTTTTAAGAAGCTTGACCATGAGATTAACATTCAAGAGTATTTGGATGGAAGGTGCGTAACCATGTTTGGTGTTAGATATCATTGATTCAATTTGTGATGCGCGTAGTTAACTGAAACATTTTTAATCTTCTCATTCTTGCAGTGCTCCATCAGTTGAGGTTGGATGATTTTCAATGCTATCTGCATACTTTTGTGTCAAGAGTCATTCAAATTATTGCTATTAATGATGTATTTTATGTTGATCCATGTGCTGCTAGGAATCCTGCAGCCAAGTCAGAGTTCTGCGAGCTCAACTAACAGAATTGCACAAGAGACTAAGGTAGGGATTGGAAAATTTTCTGGAAAATTATTGCTTTTTTCTTCTACTTTTTGGTATTATATGGAGGTTTAACAATGTGAAAACTGTTGTAGGGATCAACAATCAAGATCTTGTCCTTCAAACTTTCTTGACAACATTTGTTCTGTGTATATTAATTATCTTCTCAAATATTTGCTTCATTTACTTTGCAAATGGCATGATTTTCTCAAAGATGATATAATGCATAAGTTATTCTACTGAAAAAAAATGGATGAAGAAAATCAGAAGTTATGTTGTTCTTAAATCTGTGAGAGGATTTAGTTATAATCCATTTACTAGCTCGCTCAATCATATAAATGATGGTTGAAGGCTTTAGTTTTGGCACTAACATTTCCCTTGGGACTAACTAAAGGGTAACTAGCATTCGAGCTAAGGAGGCTCTACTAAGTAAGATGCATTCACAGAACATAAATATTCTTGAAACAGTTAAACACTCTTATATCATTTAACTGTAGCCTGTGTATATCTAGATGTTATAATTTCAGGCCATTGAATTTCAGTGCCTTTGATGATGTTAAGTTGACATGATAAGCCAGAAGTTCAAATGGTTATACTTTGGAAATGCTATATGGGGTCGGTACAGTCCATTTTTTGCCTTAAAACTGCTCCATTGAGAATTCAGATTCAGCACCCATTTTGCCAATGTATTGGAAATTTTGGTCTGGGTATGTTGTAGCGATTCTAATATTGGCTATTGTTATCCGTGTTCTCGTGCCATCCAGGTCCAGCTAATTTTGGTGTTTGGAAGGACCTTTTCTTACTAGCTTGCAGGCACTATTTAGGTTTTATATGCTAGATTGCTCATGTGATACTTTCATTAACATTACAATTTTGTGTGGCCTCAGCTGGTGGAGTAACCCAGAGAAGGTAGAAGATATTGAGCATCTCAGGCAGATGGAAGGTTCACTGAGGGAATCACTTACTAGAGTTCGTGCACTTAAGGTACTGTTACATCTATTGTGCACAATTTTACTATGAGTAATAGCAATATATGCATAAATATGCTATCGATTTGACATAGCTGCACTTAATTTTCTTGGCCCATATTGCATATATTGGTTTACCCTGGCTATGCATGACTAAAAATTATAAATGAAAATAATTGTCTCTTTAGTTAGACAGTTTCCATGGTACCATTACCTGATGTATCTGATTTTCTTTTTGAGGATCTGAGCATTCTAAGAAAATTGATCTACACTGCTTGATCTAACCACGTTGCTAAACCAGCACATATAATTTACCATATCTAGGTTCCCTTTCACAGGAAAATTTTGTGAAGCACCAGCTTATGCCATTAAATTGCTCAGGCCAGGTAATGAAGCATTCAGCTGACAAGTGAAATCTCTGTGCGTGTGTGTGTGTGTGTCTAAATGTCTGTGATTCACTAATCACTAATTTGCAGCTGCATGTGTATGTGCACATCTGGCCTGGCCATGTCATTGCTTATCATCATTGCATCATATATAATGTATGGCGCCTGTCTTGTTTCCCAGTTCCAGAGTGGAATGCAATTTGCGATGACGATGGATGGTAACCAAGATGGAACAACGCTGCCATGGATTCAAGATAATGAGAATCAACCTGTGATATTGTCCAAGGACTCAGACTTTATTACTCAGAGGTTAGTTAAATTTGATACTCTTTTGTACCTTGTATTTCCTCTAACCTCAGATGTTTGCATCTAGTATGGTTTGTGTCACTACCTAAATTATTTTCTGAGTAACCTGATCATTTTTTCTGAAGTACTGATTTGGTTTCATTATAAAGTGTGACTAGTACAACCATTTAACACTTTGTTCTCAACTGCTATAGAATTTAATGTATTTCCAATAGGTTTTTGATTTATTTGATGGCCATTTTCCATTTGTAGAGATATGGAATACCCCAGAGATGCGTCCCTTCCCGGCTGTTCTGCACTCTTTACCACGGGAAAAGAAGCAGAGATTGATAATACAGGATTGATAGATAACATCAACTGCCCCAGAGATATTACCCTCTCTAGCTGTTCTGGTTTATTTGGCAATAGTAAGGTAGAAGAGACCAACAATACGGGAAAGATGGATAATATGGAATGCCCCAGAGATACATCTCTTCCAAGCTGTTCTGGTTTAATCGACCGAGGGAAAGAAACTGAGTTTCATAATGCAGAACAAGTTGATAGTATAACACAAGAAGGTAGTGCAATGGATGATTTAAGTGCCATTTCATGCTTGAGATTACAACTTGGTGGGGAACAACCATACTATCCATATAGTCATCTAAACATACCAGAACTCAACAAACTAGAGGTTGGACGAGAGGCAAATTTCCAAGAGAATCCCATGACTTATCCAATGAATGGGAACTTTGAATTGCCTAGATCCATTTATGCAAATTTGGGCCATCCTTGGTTCCCTGCATCTGATGACTGTGAGATCAACATGATGAATGACAATCCATTTACTCAGGTGATGATCTATTTTTAATTTTTGAAAGTTTGAGTATTGAACCACTTTTTGATTTGTTGTTTAGCTTCACAGATGAAATCGTAAGATATGTATGTGCCTTTTTCTGGGTAGTGATTCGTGAATGCTTCTCCTAGTACACTGGCAAAAAGAAATATTCATGTTTTACATGGAAATCTTGGGAAAATGGATCTTTCGGATTTCTATATACTGCTATAGAAGAGACAAGTATTTTGGATGCCTAATTTCACTGTTCATTCCTGATAGGGTGTTCTTTAAAAGTCAAAAATCACTGATATGGTTTTAACTTCTACAAAATCACTGAAGGGTTGGAAGGTGATTTGGAGTTAGTTATTTCCAGATTTGAGTAGCAAGTCAAAGGTTGTCTGCTATTGAATGAGAATCTTGAGTACGGAAAGTACTTGTGTAACAGGAATTGAGGTTGGTCTTAAGTGAAAATGAGAGTTTGTCTTCGTACTTGATCATTCTATGTTAGAAAGCCAGTTCAACTCTACAAGGGAAATTATATTAAGAGTAAGTTTCAGAAATTTCACCTAAATTTCCTGTAAAATTTTCAGTCCCATGTGTTTGTATCTACATTTATCAATTCTGAAAAACTTGACATGATTTCTGAAATTTACATCATTGATATGTTGGACTCATGAAGAATTGTTCAGAGACCACAAATCCGTCTTGAATTCTTCATCAAATAATGCTATTTTGATAACTGTGTCAGACTTAAATTGGTTACAAGAAAGTCGTAAACTTGATTCCTAGCTCGTTTCTCCTCCTATAGTAGTGAAAGGTAACTGAAATATCTATAGTTGTTTGAACTCGTTGTATTTGCTCCACATTTGACTGTATTAGCAAGGAAAGGGGTTGTCTAGGCAACATAAGTAAGACACTTTGAGGTAAATTGAAGCAAAAAGCAAACTGATAGCTACTCTGTTCCTAGCATGAAAAGAGAAAAGTTGTCATAAAGTAGTTTGAGCAGAGTGGTTAAGTAATAACAAAACTTTGGCCTGTACTTGGTGAGACATGCTTCAAAAGCGAACATTTATCGTTGAAGGGCCTATATTGTTGTGATTTTTGAAGAAAATGAAAGGGGGAGTTTTGCAACATTCATTCTAATATTCACTTTTCAGCTATTAAGTTCAATGAGCAACATGTTGTCCATGCATATATTGCTTCGTAATAGATGCCCATTTTAAATTTTCCATTTTTGAATCTTGTTTGAGGATTTGCATCAACTTTTTAAGATTGCGCCATGTACTTTGCTCTGATATCTGTGGGGAAGTTCGAAAAAGCTTTGGCTTATCAGTAGATTAGTTAGAGTCTAATCCTATAAAGGCCGGCAGAAGGAATGCTTTCTCTTTTTCCCTTTTTCCCCAATTTGTTCTTAAGATTGCGCCCTGTACTTTGCTCTGATATGTGTGGGGAAGTTCAAAAAGGCTTTGGCTTGTCAGTAGATTAGTTAGAGTCTAATCCTATTGGTTTGAACTACTTTCAGGAACTCTGTTCACATCCCCCGCTCCTTCTTCCCCCTCTAGCCTCTCAAACAAAATGAAAGGACTAGTCAAAAGAAACGGTAACAGAAACAAGAAAGCCAATGGGATGAATGTTATTTTTCTGCAACCTGGCTTCATTGGAAAATTTCAATTTGACTAGCTATTTTTCAATCTATCGACTTAAAAGGCATAACATTAACTTGTTTCCAATTTCTATTTGCTTTTCGTGGATTTGTCCATAGGTTTCTCCTGGGTTCTGTGAATTTGGAGAATTAGTTGGAAGTTGCATATTGCTTCCCATTTTTCTTTTAACAATGTTCAAAACCGTTCCATATTGCTACAATCTGCCAGTGCTATAAATCGCACATTAACAAAACTTAAATGGAGGCTGTGAATCGAGATTTTGGGAAACTTAATGGGAAACAATACAAGTGCAGCACAGTTTGTAATATCTTCTTATTGCCATTTAACTTTTGCTTGTATTATTTGTTTCTGCAGCCATCATCACAACACCCTTGACGATGAGGAGGAATGATGAGTTGCGTTGCCCATGCGCAGCAAGAGTGATTTTGCTTGGTGTTTTATAACTTCTTGATCTTCACAATCAGCAACAGAACTGGCCAATTATGTTGGTTCTTTAGCATGTAGAGATTTCAAATAAGAGGTTAGCCTCTGCAATAAGCCCCGTTGTTATGGTTTCTTTGTTTCACTTTTGTTTTTTTGGAGATAAAATAGTCAAAAAAAAAAAAAAAAACCCTGCTGTTCTGGTTGCTGTTTAGCTTATTTAGAATTCCTTTAGGTATTAGCAAAGGGAAAACGAAACGAATTCTGTAGCAAACTTTGAACAAACTACAACATTTTGTCCCATCGCATACTCGGTGTAAATTCTGTTCTGTTGATTGATGTAGCTGACAAAATATGAATGGTAATTGCCATCTTAGTTTCACTGTACATCAAAGATCTAAAATTTGTTCCATCTCCAATCAAAACCATTCACTCATTTGTTACAAGCTCCATCATACTCGTTTATTTACCCGCAAATGTTTGAACGATTGTGTTGTGCCATGGGTCTGAAAGGTGCTTCAGCAGGTTGTCAAACGGTCCTTCTCCAGTGACATTGTACTGGATGATGAATCCTAAGAAAGCCAACATGGCCAATCTCCCTGCGAAGACAAATTCAAATAGTTAGCCCAATTTAACATAAAAAATTTCGGGAGATCTGCTTCAGATGCAGTTCAGAGAAACAGAATAGGATTGTGGTAGTAGTCTCACCATTGGCTAACTCTTTTTCTTTGGCCTCCTCGGTAGGGGCAAGGTTCAGAGGGTTGAAAATACTACCTGGGTAGCCACACTCATGAGGGGGCAAACTGTAGCTCTTGAAGATAGGATCTTGGTTAACACATCCTGGGTTCTTGATGTCTTGCCATCTCCTGATCTCGACGTAGTGGAACAGGATGAACTCGATCACGAAAAGCGTCGACGATGATGCAAAGTATTCAGCTTTCCCAGCATCGTACCAGTTAGGAGCATTAATGATTCCAATCTTAGTGAGCACTTCGGGTAATATCATTCCAACAACTCCCAGCATAGCCCATCGACTGTTGACAAGCTCAGCCTGGATCATCCATCTCAAGTTTTCGGGGTCCTCGGCTAGCCCCAGTGGATCAAAGCCATTGTCACCGGGAAGCCTGATGAACACACACGTATAAAAGCGCTTACTTAGTGTTTGGAAAAGCATTAAACAGGAGCAAATTAAACCATATTACCGTTTCATTTTGATATCAAGATTAGTATATGAAACTGTGCGATAAGAGATTAGTACCTGCCATCAAGATAGGGAGGAGAGGCCAAGCCCGGTAGCCATTCGCCTTTCTTGGCTTCAACTTTGAATGAAGTGGTGGATGAAGAGGTTGATGGTCTAATGGAAACTTCCCTGTTCAACTTGCCAGATGATCCAGTAAGGAACCTGGTTTTCGAGGCGCATGGCCGGAAAACTGCAATGGAAGCTTGTGTTGTAACTGCAGCCATTGTTTCCGACCTGAATATTGATGAGAGGAAATGATCTGAGAAAAGGGTAGTGATGGTTGGCTCAAGTCTTAACTAGAAGGTGTGTTTTGATGTATGCATTTGTATTTCATTTCACTGGTTTTTTTGTGGTTCTGATTCAACGTGTAAAGATTCAGTGTTGGCTGGCTAGATTTTTGGGGATTCAACGGCTATGATGGGGTTTGGATTTTTTCCTAGCCAATGGGATGGAAAGGCCCTTATCCTTATCTCTCTTGCCATATCCATATATCTATTTCTGTGTTTCTGTTGGCTTGGAAAAGATCCTGGGGGACCCTCTGATTGCCAGGCGGGTAGAAATTTTGATATGCTAAATTAAAGATCTTTTGTGTTGAATCTCTTATGACCAATTGATTATTGGTCTGCTAGAATTTGTGCGAGGAAACAATATGCATCTGGAGTGTCACAAAATTGGCAGAAAAAATGGAGGATTTTAGGTGATGGTTTATCAAATCCGTTGATGTTCACTTCATGATCACTTGGGGACAATTTTACTTAACAAAATTTGCATTGACTTTATAAAATTTTGATGAAAAACTTGAAGAATGATCAACTTCTATGATGATTTTTTTAGTTTTTTCATAGTTTGAGTCAAATTAAAGGCTGTGCTTAATCATTTGAAACATGGAATATTGCTATTGACAAGAACATATAAAGAAAAACACAAAGGTCAAACTGGGCTGCTCTAGAAATGCCTAACGAATCCGCTAATGCACTATCGCCTTCAATTAGGACTCTTAGAACTTTTCTCGCTGTCAAGTTCAGAATTCAAATCTTGTGCTTAGCAGTTAGGGACAAAAAAAAATGTGGGGAGAGATGAGAGTGTTAAAAAAATAAAAATACAAGGAAAAATAATTGTACTATTGCCCTAATAAATATTGTATTTGTTAAAAATTTCTGTTATCACAATTAGCAAGAACCAAGACTCTGGCGTAACATTTTGATATCTCAAGAACAAAGTGAAGTTTTTTGAAAATCCGATATTTACAAAGCACAATCTTAACCCTTTTCCCAACTTTTTTTTTTCCTTCTCTTATCCAAGGGATTCATATTATGAATCCACTTCGCATCAATTCCAAATTTGAGATCCTGGGTTACTCAACAGAATCCATCATTAAAGTCGAGGATAAGTGTAAATGTTGATGGAATTTATTTGTAGAAAAATAAAGGAAGCCTTCATTTGTGCAGGATAAAGAATTTTGACAAAATATAACTTATGGATTATCCAAAATGTCACAAGTTATGCTGCAGATTCATATTGGACAGGTCAAAACTTATACCTACAATCATCCTTTGAGACCAAAGGAGTTGCATTTCTGTTATCGCTACCCAACCATAAAACTGCTCCAGCCCAGAAGAACATTACAGAATCTAGGTCCACGAAATTATAGCGACCAAAGGGTGTCCTGCACACTTAGAAACAAGAAGATTTATCTCTAACTTGGCCCTTTGAAGAGAAAATCCGGCTCACAAGCAATAAAATCAGAAGTTGAACTCTCCCGTTGCCTGAAGAAATAAGGGAAGATCCACCAAGATTTGTTGATGTTCAGTAAAGGTAAGAAACAAAAGGGTAAGAGATTTAAGAATGTGATAATATGGATATAACACATAGTGAACGTGATAATGTATATAGTTTTGTCAAGGATAGCAAAAAGATTGTCCTAATGCCATTGAAGTCAGGATCAAAATCTAAGTCTAATCAATTGAATGGGACTAATTTGTTATTTGTTGTACCTAAAGATTTTAATTTAAATACGCATGCGGAAAAACCGAAGATGTCAATACTATTGAAGAGATTCCTGTCTTGGCTGTGAAATCTTGTGTGATGTAAGAGACATGAATGCTTGCCACCTATTGCTTGACAATATAATATGAATATAGCATGCAGTGGACGTGATAATGTTTATCGTTTTGTCAAGTGTAGCAAGAACATGGTCCTAATATCATTGAAGCGGGGTTCAAAATCTAAGTTTAATAAATTGAATGGGACTAATTTGTTACTTTGGCTTGGTGTCCCTTTATCCATGGCGATGTTGGACACATTTTGTAGTGGGATTGGTTCCGTTAAAGAAATCCATTGGGAAAACGTAGTTAAATCTCCGAGTGGGTTCCATACCAGCTGTGGTCGATCACGCATCTGCATCACTTCTGCAATGGCTCTTTTCAACTTTAACAAGTGTCCCGATTTTATTACATGCAGCACGGCAACAGCAACAGGCATCTCCTGGTTCTTGTATAAAACTCCAAGGTACTTATTTAACATCCCACACTCCATATTGACGGCTATGGATCTGGGGAAGGGGACGGAAGACTAGCCTGGGAGGGAGGTGGGCGGGGATGACTCAGACGGGTGGAAGGCCGAGCCGTAGGAGTACTGGCTCTTGTTCACTGCCTGATCATTCCTTAGATTATCGGATGATGCTCAGATGCCAACCAATCGACCTGAAACCGATTGATGGTCGTCTCACCCCACTTGCTGCCCCAGAAAACAGACGGCAGAGAGTCTGTAAAATTTGGTGGTGTTGTCGCAGAAGCCTCTTGGCCAAAAATTTGATGATTCCGAATTTCATACTTGAAGGGGATGCATTATCGATTATCCGGCTTCTTAGAGATAAAGACGATGATTTTTCTATATTCAATCTTTAATTCCAATTCATTCCTATATTCAAGGCAGAAAGCCTTTTTTTTTTTTTTTTTTTTAAAAATTTGTCTTTACATAATAAAGTTTCTCCATGAAACAAATAAGGGTCATGTTAATCAATAACAAGGTATTAAAATAAAATCATTATTGGGATACCCCAAGAAAACAAGATTAAGTGATGCCCAATTGAGTAAATTTGTAACTGTAAATGATTTGAGAGTAAAATGAAAAGATTAATAAACAAAGAGAAACCAAACATGAAGAATTTCTTTATTTCTTCTAGGCTCATACAAGATTATGTGCCTATTGACTTCAATAGGCTAGTCAAGATTAATAACACTTCATCTTTTTCTTCCCCTCAAAAGAGATTATATGCTTAGAGTGCCATTAACGACTTCCTTAGGATCAATTTTATTATATTTCACAAATGATATTAATTACTTATACGGGAACGGGCTTAATGAACATCGAAGTAACGTAACTTCGCATGACTTCTCCCACGTGTGTGTACTCGTCATTGTGCTTATAAGCAACATCTATCACACGTGCCAAGTTGACAACTCGAAGGAGGACAGCCCTGGGAGGAACAAATTCTGCTGCATCAAAACCAGTAGTACTAGGTTTAAGGAGTTGTTGGTTCACGAGCTTCCACGAATCCTCGATTTGTCGGTAAAGTTCCCCGGATGCTTGCTGCTCTGTTACACCGTGTTGCTTCATGTAGCATTCCACCGCTGAAGCAATGTGCGGCCTTTCTTGTTCAAACTGCAAGTATCCAAATATTCGTAGTTGACGTTATAAAATGGAGAAGGAAAGAGGATTTTATGCAATTCTAGTACAATTTTTGTTTCTGAGTTTAAAGGAGACCTATAAGAAAAGGAAAAGGGAAAGAAAAGAGTTTAAAAGCCGAACAAGATATGTCATAAATATATGGTTGTTGCAAATGCGTCTAAGCAATTACAAATAACCAATGTCGAAGTGGTTATACGGATGTACTGTTATTAGTTTGTTCAGGCCTTAAATTCGGCTTGGGTTGTATATCAAATTAGCCCAGAATTTTCTAAGCCAAAGCTCATTTCTATAGTTGATCCATATTTTTAGCAGGTCAGAAGGGTCTAAATCACAATTACATTATCGCATAGATGGTGGTCTGTGATACCATCTCCAAGATTGTAGAGGTTGAAACTTGAAACATTGCTTTCCCATCCCTATTTCAAGATTCAGATATTTTTTAACCAAAAAAAGTAGCAAAAGAAAGGAAAGAGACCACACTCTTTAAGGACGCGATTTGCTGTGGGTTTGCTTTCCAATAGATAAGAATTTGGTTTGTACCTTGTGCTCCACAATGTCATCCCGAAGCCTGCAAATGATTGATGCAGCTCTTATGATATCAGGGTCATTTGATGCCCAATCGAAGCTCTCCTTCGTGACAATATCCCCCATGCCTAGGAAGGATATTATCGTAAGAGTGGTGTATCCACAGGAAGCCAATCCAATTCGCATATATTCCTCCACGGTTGGTATGTACCCTTGACGCAGCCACTTGGCCTCAACAAAATAGGCACGAGCCAGCAACTTCAGCTGCAAATTAGTGCAACAATATCAACTATTTCAATTTTAATAATATCCTAGGACGAAATCAATTAAGGAGTTTGATTGTATGAATTTGAGTATGCTCATACTGCTTCCTTGGCGTAATATGTTCGATATGAACTTCCTTTCTTGGCCATTTCTTCCTCAATTTCTTCAAACAAATCCAAGAGTGCTTGGTAACAAATCTTCATATAATCTGGGAGTTGTTTCATGCAGCCAAAGTTCCATCTATAAATGTTGTAACACATTATATTACAGCAAATTTTGCTGCATACGTAGTGTGTGTATCATTACAGCCAAGTTTAAGGGTAAACATTTCAAACCTCTCAATTGCTTCTGTGAAGATTTGAATTTCTTCGTATGTCCCGTAAGCATCATAAATATCATCTATTATGGATGTAATGGCTAAAACCTTGGACATAATCTTTCTAGCGAGAGCATATTGAGGCTCAAAATATACTCCCACGATCCAGAAATAGCCCTCAACCATTCGATCTCTAGCGAATGGAAGCTTTCTTGCAAAGTCTAGTTCTTTCCACCACCTGAGGTACACTAGCCAGCAGGCGTGCATTAATTCAATAATGTTCAAGCTCAGCCAAACAATAACATAATTTTTTAAGTTAACTATTATTAGAGGCACAACTATCTTCAAGAAACTTACAAGGAAATTTCTTGTAGCTCTTCCTTGTGCTGAGATTGTAGCATGTTAAAGTCCAGCTTAGCCAGCATTAGTAAAGTTGTATTATGTGAAGGAAAATTTTCATACATGTCTATGTAATGTTTGGCCTCTAATCTTGGTAAACCCCTCCAATAAGGCTGCATTAGTGCGTGACTTACTAGCTCAGCAACTGGACTGCTTAACTTGCAAGACTGAAGATGATTACTGGTAAAGGCCAGGGCATCATCTAAAATATTATCCCCGTGCGTTCTGAGATGAGCAGCTTCATAAAGTGCAAGCATGCCCGGTACATCATTAACCAAACATTCTCCAAACTTACCTTCAGCATTCAGGAATTTCTTGAATATTTCTGCATATATAATGGGAAAACGGTAAATGGTCGAATGTTGTGACCAAAAAAAAAAAAAAAAGATATAAAAACTATTCAATTTTGTGGTTTTCGTGATATGGGACAAGGAGAAAAATGCCAATTGCTTTGATGTTTCTATGATTGAAGGTTTGATAGTATAACCTTGTTGTTCTTTGACTCTTACCTGATGAAATTCTGAATCCCTCTTGTCTTAGAATTCGAAAACAGAGAGCAGCAGTGTAGATGTGGTCATTGCCCTCCCAATTCTGATGTTTCTCATGCATCTTTTGCAAAGCTTGACCGATTTCCTCTTCAAAATGATATGCTATGCCTAGTCGTTGAATCGCATCAATCAATTGCAGCTGTTGTGAAGGATTACTAGCAGTTGCATGAAGCTCTGTCCTGACTCTTTCCTTTAGCTGTTCAAGCTGTCCCTTCTTAGAAGCCCATGTTGCCTGCCAAAAACAAATATATGCTGTCCCCGATGAAGTTAAGGTTTCTATAAATAGTGCGTAAAGCTGCTTGTTACCACAATAATAATCATTATTTATTTTGGTGACAATGGTAAAAGGGCTGCTTAAAACATGCATGAAATTTTCTTAGAAGTTCGAGTATGTTTGTTGTATAATGGGGGTATCACAAGTTTGCTAACTTTTGAATATGATTTTAGTACTACAGTTCTGGCTGAAATATAATACTACCTTGTCGGAATCAGGGGAATAGACCAGGAACTGATTTCCCCAGATATCGGGATGAAAATTGGCCACAGGACGATGAACATCACGAGGAAAATCACTTTGGATTGAAATGGGATCAACTAAGCCAAGACCTTCAACTGCCATTGTTTTTTGTTAATCGAAGACTTGCAGAAGCTAGCTCAGACCGGAGAACTGGAAGATAATTGAACTGCTAGGTAGCTTTGAACGACGTTGTTGAAGATTGCATATTAATTTATAGCCACAACAATTTCTCAAATCAGAGATCTCTTCTGCACACTTTTTTTTTTTCCCTTAATTTGGGGACGTTTCCATTATTATTGAAATTGACAAGGGCTGTTAGGTTCTGTGCTAAAGCCGGCCAGCCATGCACAGCCACAGAAATTCAAGTAGAAATTCAAATGCTGAAGTAGCATTTGACAGGTTTCCACGACAGCCATGCCCACCGGTTGTGCCAGACTGAGCGTAGTAGCTGTTTCACAAATTGATGGCACCAGATAATATCTGATGGATGGATTCGTAATTGTAAATGCACATTTTGCACTTCAATCGCTAAATGGGAGTATAACTGTAAACTATACATCATACTCCATTTCTTTGATTACCTACCATTCAATTGAATACACTGTAAATTATACTCCATCTTTTTTAGGATTTTAACAACATGACAGACGTTTTATCTTTGAAAATCAAAGGAAACGTGTTACATCTATACTTGTGTAGTTTTGAATTTTAAATATTAGTAAAAGTGCCTAAACATCTGGGTAGAAATACGTAAAATATAGAAATAAGAAAATAAGATATGATAGATTCAAAAAAAAAAACCCAATAGTCGAGATTAGTTGTTTAAAAGTCACAACGTCTGCCGCATCCCTATGTTTTTTATTACTTTAGATTCAATTAAATACTATAAACATATAGAATATTTGGCCTAACAAATGGATATCGCAAGTTCGTTTTGCACACATAATTTTGTATATCTAGTTGCCTGTGGAGTGATCAATTGTGTGATAATTTGGTGGAATCTCAGTCGTTGGTGGGTCTGTTCTGGGGATTGGATTTATTTGGGGACATGGGAAGCCTGATTTGGTCGTTTTGATGTCAACGGATATCAATTCCGATAGAGGATTTGTGGTGAGCAGTCCATGAGGGCAATAATTGAACTACATCGTAGGTAATTGTTGTTTTCTTTTAATAGACCTCTTTTTAAATATTTTGAACAATTTATGGGAAAAATACACTTTTCATCCCCACTGTTTGGAGCTTTGGACAATTTTGTCTCTAATGTTTTAGTCAAAACACATTTCAGCCTCGTTGTTTTATAATTTCAACTAATTTTGTCCTTAAAATTTCATTCAAACACATTTCATCTTCATAGTTTCATAAACTTGATCAATTGAGGACAATTGAATGCTTGCTAATCAATTTGGTCAAAATATCATGACATGATCAGCATGTCCTGTTATTATCAATAATTAATTCAATCACTGATTAAATGACATAAACATGTATATGATGCAATAAAATAATATTTTGCAAATAAATGACAATCCAAATAATTCTTTCTTTCACATTAATATTTTTCTCCAATTGGTTGTAATGGGATTGTTTGAAATATTTCTCCAATTGGCTATCATCAGATTTCTTCTCCACGACTTCGTTTCTTCTTGATCTTCTTGTTCGATTTGTAATTAAGAAGAGAGTAATGGTGGCTGAAAATCTCTTAGTTTCTTATTTTTTTGGTACTAAAAATGAGAAACTTGATTTAAAAAAAAAAAGATTTTTAAGGTTTTTGTTGATCCAATGTTTTTTTATGGTCAAGTAATGATATTCCATTCAAATTATTTGACAATTCATCAATTGTTCTCAATTAGTCAAATTTATGAAATTATGAGGATAAAATGTATATGCATGAAATTTTAGGGATGAAATCAATCAAAATTATAAAACTATGAGGATGAAATGTGTTTTGACTGAAACTTTAGAAATGAAATTGCCCAACATCTCAAACACTGGGGATTAAAAGTGCATTTTCCCCAACAACTTATTTCATAAAGATCTAACTCAACTAATCAACTCTGGTAAAAAGCGAAAGTGCCATTTGGTGATCTTAGGTAGCCGCATGTCTTTGTAAGCCTAAATAGTAAATAGTTTGTTCTTAAGAGACAAACTACTGATTTAGACAAATAAGGGTCATGTTATAATTCAATTTGTATTTCCGGTGAGTAAGACTAATTAATGACAAAGTATTAAGCTAAAATCATTATTGGTGTACCCAAGAAGACAAGATTAAGTAAAGTTCAATTAAGTGAAGTCGACATTGTGAGTGTTTTAACAGTAAAATGAAAAGATTAATAAACAAAGAGAAATCAGACATGAAAAAATTCTTTATTTCTTCTCAGAAGGCTCACACAATATTATGTGACTATTGACTTGTGTAACTTTCTCCCTCTCCTCTCGACTCTCAACTTTCTATCTACTCTTCTTCCTCGATAGAAGGGAGATCTTGGCCTTAAGCCAAGGTCTCCCTTTCCTCTTCCTTTGTTCTCCTTTCGTATTCTTTTGTTCTTACTTTAATAAAGTTTCTCTTAGCAGGGTATCCTAGTGAGAGGTTTCTTCTCTCTTAGGCTATCCTGGTGAGAGTTTTCTTTTCTCCTAAGCTATTCTGGTGAGAGTTTTGTTTAGTTTTTATTTTTTTGTTATGTATTTTCTCAGATCGAAGAATTTCTTCAAATCTATATGTTAGATCTAAAATTTCTTGGGTCTTCTCGCTAGATCTCAACATCAGTTTTGAACTTAAACCAGTTAGATAGCAGATCTGAGGGAATAGATATGCACAGATATCTATGGAGCGGTTCGTTCAATTGATCAGATTTGATGATTGCTGATTCGCAGTATAATCTTTTATATTTTGTAACTCTGTTAAATCTTATGATTTCTCAGATCAAATATATCTGTGACATGTTCAATGTATTTTCTGCCATTAGTGCAAATTACTTTATCAAGCAAATCGTGCTGAACGATTTCCAGCGAGATGATTAATAATATTAACTTATGTTTTATCAAAAAAAAAATGTGGCTATTGACTTTAATAGACACGTCAGGAACTACCAACATAGAACACAATCCAGCGTTTAACACAACAAAGAAAAAAATAAAAAAGAAAGCCCTTGAAACACAATTATGCAACCTTAATTAATTAAATAAATTTCAAATTTAAGCTTCACACATGTATTGACATGCTTAAAAAAGTAACAGCTACAAATAGGGGAATGTTGATTGCATTCCACTTTTATTCCATTAACACCTTTTTTCTTTTCCAAAAAAGATTATTCAGTAACGATTATGCTTTGAGTACTATTATTTTTTTTTTCCTTACAATCAATTATTGATTTATTATGTGTTACCAATGATATTACCCTTACGAGGTTAGGCTCAATGAACATTGAATTGATGTAACTTAGCATGAATTCTCCCACATGTGTATATTCATCAACATCTATCAAACATGCCAAATTGACAACTCAACGGAGGACAGCCTTGGGAGGAAATATACAAGATCGGGCTTAATGAATATTGAATTGATGTAGTAGTATCTTGCGTGATGGAGAAAGATGTGGCAGTGGTTTTTCCTTTTTTTCCCCCTACCATTGTGTACAAGCCTTATTGCTTTGATCAATAAAAGCTCCTATTATTTGCCAAAAAAAATATTGAATTGATGTAACTTCACGAATTCTCCCACGTGTATATTCGTCGACATCTATCACAGATCCCAAGTTGACAACTAGAAGGAGGACAGCCTTGGGAGGAAAACTTCAGCTGCAGCAGATCCAGGAAGGAGTACTGGGCTTAAGGAGTTTGTTGGTTCATGAGCTTCCACGCATGCCCGATTTGTCGGTAAAGTTCCTCAGATGCTTGCTGCTCTATTACACTGTGTTGCTTCACCTTGGATTCCACTGCTGAAGCAGCGTTTGCCATTTCTTGTTCAAACTGCAAGTATCAAATATTCAAATAGTCATAGTTGATATTGTAAAATAACACGCTGCTCTTTGTTTCCCAACTCGAAAATAACTTCTCAAAAATTTTAGCTGCTCCAATAATGGTCCAACAATAGTAAATTACACCAACTCATTTGACAGAAATACAACTAGTAATATTCCAAGGAAACTAATTCAAATGGTTTGAAAAAACGCTGACGATTATTGAAGAAACGCTGACGATTTTTCTCCAGAGAAAGGATAACTTGGTACACTATATTTACCCTTTGGGACCAAACGGCTAAAATCATCAAAGGGTAAAAATTTTAGTGGTATAATCATCTTTTCATAAATAATAAAGACGAGAATTTACTTCACGCCAAATAGGCATTACACTTCGGCAGTATTTTGTTTACTTTGTGAATATGGGTGAATTGAAGCTAAGCTCTAGTTATAACATGACTGATGCTTGTGTCGCTCAATTGATACTTGTGTCGCTTGAAATTTTAAATATTAGGTAAAATGTCTAAATATCATGTTGGAAAATACCTAATTTCTAAGAACAAAGAGATACAATAATGATAAATTTAGAAAAATTGGTGGCTGAGACTGGTGTGTAACTTTTAAAGTAACGACGTCTGTCACATAACTATTTTCCAGTCTTTATTAGTACTTTACATTCAATTGAAAACTAAACATAGAATATTTGGCCTATCAAATTGATATAACAACTTCATTTTGCACATATAATTTGTGTACATCTAGTTGCCTGTGCAGTCATCTATAGCCTGAGTTACAATGGTCTTTGTTATTTAGCAAAAAAAAAAAAAAAAACTAGAAGAGTTGAACGTCATGAATTAAATGATTCCATTTCAATCCAATATAGTTTCCCTCGTGACGTTCATCATACTTTGGCAAATTTTCATCCCATTATTTGGGGAAATCAATTCCTAGTCTAATCCCGGGAAATCAATTCTAGTCTAATCCCCTGATTTGACATGTAATAATTTAGCCAGAATTAATGCACAATAAGCCTTTTTCTAAATTATTTTAATTTTTTTTCTTGGATGAGAGAGTAGGAATTAAGAAGCCGGGGGAAGAGGGATTAGAACTTAGGGATAATTTCAAAAACCATCCTTGAGGTTTTTAAGTATTACACTAAGTACTCTTGAGATTTCAAAAATTACACATACTTTTCTTACCCATTGAAAATGACAATACTAGTATTAACATTCTGATAAAAATCCCCTGTTTGCCATGTTTATAAAAAAGGATGGGTTTTATAAATTTT